TCTTTACCTCAAGGCAATTATCTGCCACCGGTCCTAGGGAAAATAATGCAAAAATCTCATACAGCATTCAGGGGGGAATGAACTAAGTGATAGCTACTGTCACAATAGATACTAATAGGTAGCCACTGATATAATAGGTATTATCTATCAAACTTTACTTGCTGATGAGGTTTTAATTTTGTTAAAAGCATCTTCTGTAGTTTCAGTAGATTTGTCCAAGGTGCTTCATTTTAGAAATGACAATGGGCAATATTTTTAAAAGCTGCATGTTAAGAGGCTCCCAAAACTGTCCCACCATCATGGCAAAGATAATTTACGACTTAGTGGATCTGTTTAAGTCCAGGGTCTCATAATAGCAGAAGGCCAAATGCTATATTCTCATTGTACAGCAGAATCCAGATGACTTAACATCTCTTCTGACCTTAATCTGTAGTGATCTGAATGCAAACAAACATTTATAAAGCTTAGATTCTGGGAAGGTGTTGCAATGATTGCAATGAATGCAATGAATGCAATGAATGCAATGATTTTCAAAGCAGGTCTGTGTTGGTACAACATAGCATATACAAATAATAGATGGTGAACTAACCAAGTTGGCCAAGTCCAACTCTTCCTTTTCCATAAATTTTCTGTACTGTTTACAATACAGAAATACAGAGTAACCACAACTTACAAATTTAACAGCTCCTTGAGATACTCTTGGATTCCTTACATTAAGAATCATTTGAATTGTCTCGTGCTCCAAGGCCACCCAATTTTTTTTATACATGGATCGACAGATTTTAAATGCTATGACAAAACATACAGGATATATTAAGGAGTCTGGTTTAAAAACAGACTCTTGCCTTCATGTTTAATCCTCACCAAAAAAAAAGCTTTGATCAGATTTTGGATCAACTCAAAGAAATTTTGTTGTTGACCATTTGAATCAAATCAAAAACAGTCTGGAAAGCAACATAGAGGAGGATAACAGTAGTAGAAGACAGACACTGTCAAGTTTGAAGCAAAACAGTGAGCAGTCTTTCAGAAGGACAAAAACAAAGATTTGTGCTCAACTAAAATATCTGTTGCGGTCTGCTAATAGGTTGTAACACTGTTACCATTTTTGTAATTTTCCATAGCTGGCATTTCCTTTTTAGGAGAAAGGAAAAGAAGGATTTGGATCACCGCAAATTTTGTAATGCTTATAGTATGTGCTCTAACACTTTCCATTTAACATGTAAGTCCAATGTAGAGACTGAAAAAAATTCAATTAGGAGGAATGGAAGTTTTCAGATTAAAAAATAAACACCTACAGCCTCCAGAACCTGGAACTGAATTGTTTTTAGTGGAACTCATTAAATATGAGTCAGACTTCAGTAATATTTTCAAAATACTGCAGAACTTTAGAGAAATACTAACTAATTGTTCCTGGAGATTTGTGACAATATCACATTTTTGTTTATTGACTAGATATAGGCTAACAGGCTGTACATTCACTGTCTAGAGACATACAAAACATCATGTATAAACCCTATGTTTCCTCTTTATAATTAAGTGGCTTGCTGCATGGTGTCCATGGAAGCCTTTTCCCTTAATGGATGTTTCTTAACCCCTGCTGCAGGTAGCCAAATAAAATGAGCTAACCTTCATTTCATCTTGAGAGTAATATTTAGTTTAAATTCCGAGTGATCAGAGGAAAAATCTCATTGATTATTTCACGTGGCAGAGTGAAAAGTTCCACCAGGAATTTTTCTGGAGCTGTATGCTCCCATGGGAAAAATACCCTACTCCTGATACTGGGCACCCAGTTCTCTTGGTTCTGGGTACCAGATGTGTGAATAGCTTTAAGATGAAAACAAAGCAGCAGTTGGTTTAGATAGTATCTATTAAGTTTTGGTAACCCGAGTCTTTTGGGGAAAAGGATATTAAATCCAAATACATTGGGAGGCACTTCCATTTATGCAGAGGTGCATAGAAGCTATAAAGAATGCAGTTTTACAAGAGAGTAAAGGCAGAGAGGATATCACTGATGAGTGTAGAAAAAAAATGGTGACACTGTAACTCAATAATATTTGATAGCTAGATTTCAGCCAGTGCAAATTGACTTGCAGTGAGCTCTGCTTTCAGATTCTTTCATTACAACCCATTAGACTTGACCATCTCCAGCTCCAGAAAATATGAATTAAAAAAAAAAAGAAACAACAAAAAGGAGCTTTGTATCACATTAAAAAATATTTCTATTCATATATCACAAGAAAAAGAAAGTTAGATTATAATAGGTTTTGATCATATATCTCATCAAAGAATGATGAATAATTAAGGTACAAAAGAAAATAAATTTTGAAGAAAAACTGGAGCACAGTAGTTGTAAAAATGAAATACTAATATGTCCTGTCATCATCAGTGTGAAGCATATTTATAACCAGTTTACAACTTAGATGACATAGGTGATTTTACCTATTATTTTGTGTATTCCTTAGAAATTAGCTACTTAATTCACATGCTGTTTAACAACTTCTGAGACCTACCAAAAGAATTCCTGCACAGAGCACAAAATAGGAGCAGAAACAAAGAAATCATCCAACCATAGTCTCACCCTCTGTTGCAGAAGAAGCAATACCTTCATTTGCTGGGTATGGGTTGTAGCACCTACCTGCTCTTCCAAACAGGTTTATGAGGTGATAGCTTCATGACTTAGAACTGTAAGATTAGGAAAAGCATAAAAATTATACCAAAGGGCAGTATTAAATAACAGATTGGAGAGACGGTAAAAATCGTATTATAAGGAAGGAAAATCTATTGTTTTTTATCTTAACCTCAGAAGGCATGTGATTCTTCATCTTGACTGTGCAATTTCCATAGCTAATTTAAAACAGTCAGGAAGACAGGAACTATATGAATGAACAACTCTCAGCTGAACTTTATGTGACCCAAGCTTTTACCATATGTTAATTTCAAAATATCATCAGTTTGCTTAATAAGATTTGTAAGGTAAAAAGATATGCATGTTTTGTATTTCTTTTATCAGAATGAGAAAAAGGGTGTATACTTGATGTACAGAAAAACTGGTTCATAAATATACCTGTGCCAAAAGCATATTAAGCCTGGATTATACTGTACTTGCAGCCAATGTTTAATTCGATTTGTACTGGAAATGCAAAACTACACCTATTACTGAGGGTTCAAAATATACATAATATTGGGCTTATCTTTCAAAACAAATCTATAGTCAGAGAAAGCCCAATTAATGCCTTTCTTGTGATTTTTAAGATTCTCTTTACAAATATTATGCTCCATTGCTCACCTTGTTGTATGTTCTTCCATAGAGCAAATCTTGATATTACCTTAAAGGTCATCCCTCTCTGAAAAAAAAATATTTTTTTATTCCAACTGATCTCTTACTGAGTGCTGCTTGTTGCTACATTTGCTGTCAAGTCACAGTTGAAGTTTCCTTGGTCAACTAAAGCTAATGAAGTAGTTTTCAGATAAATATCATTCTGTGCATGAGAAACTCCATCTGGTCTCCATTTGTCTACACGCAGAACAACAGCAGCTTTGTCCACTTCTACATTTCTACTCCTGATACCATGCAGTTTTTCACTTAGATTAATTCACTATTGTAGTCCCACTGCTTCACATTCACTTCTTGGCACCATTCAAGCAGTAATGCAGTAACAATCTGTCACCAACATGTTCCCCAGAGTGTAACTGGTTGTCCAAAACCAGGGAGACTGGCATGATGTCAGAACATCAAAAGCACAACATTCCCTCCCTGTGGGCTGCACTGGTACATGGCACTCTGTGTTGGGCAAATTGTTTGCTAACTGGGGCATTGCAGAAGCACAAAGGTGTGCTTGTTGTCTTTCCTGTTCCTGGTGAAGGGCATTGGCTTTTCCCTGCTCCCAGGAGCCTTCACTGCTGTGGAGACTGAGATGCATCAGCAGCAAATTTTGGGACAAGCTCATATCCAGGCTCCTCTTCAGGAAACTGATAGGGGTCTCCAGCCCAGATTAGTAGTACATTCTGTACTACAACTTTTCATAAAGATAATAAATTAAAAATGGACAAAATCCCTGAATTTCTACCCCAACAATTACAGTCAAATGCAATTAAACCACAAGACATTTTTAAATGGCTTATGCATGCTTTCTATATGGACATTTGACATTTTTCCCTACCTAAATCTATCAAAAAAAGATGTTTCTCATAAAAAGGAAGACATCTTCCATTCAGAGATAAGGGAAAGTTCTTATGGAAGCATAAAGATCCACGTTAAACTGTTACTTTCTTAATGTATTATTTTTCAACATTGCCTGGTGAAAGTAACATCTCATCCAAGCCTTAAGATGCATTCTTGAACTACATCCATGGAACAAGAAACAGACAACATAAAGCTGAGTAGTTCCAGATTCTGAAAAGCAGGAGAAAACTGTAAGTGCAAAATGAACGAATGTATGGAGTGAGTTTACAGTAACTGCTCAAAACCCATTCCTGGGATGTGTTTTTATTAAACAAACATACATTCAACCACAAAAGAAAACCTCCAGACCAAATCAATTCCAATGATTTGCAGAAGAATCTTTGAACTCAAGTATGTAATGTGGAAAATGGTATGATTCAAAGATAATTTTGAATCTGATCCTTAGGCTAAAGTTTTCATTAAGGATATTTTACTGTGGTCATAAGACAGTTAAAGAAAAAGGCAGAAAAATGAATGAGTCACTTGGCTGAAGAAGAACAGCAGCATTGAGGTCTGAGTGCTATGTGTTAGCTCATGTCTAGCAGTATAAAATAAGTTAGAAAACAAAAGCCTGTTTGCAATTTGTTTTATAATATAACATGTTTTCTCTCTGAAATACAAAAAAAAATCTTGTACAAACCTATGGCTTTTTAACTTTCTCAGGTTTGTGAAATATCATTCTCTGATCCCACAGGAGGAACAGATGGGTTGTCCTTGTACAAAATATGGTATCCACCTGCACTTCATTAGAGAGCTGCATTTTTGTACATGCCACACCACAAGATCACCATGATGACATAGCAGCTTCAGAGAACAGCGTGACTAGGGCTTTTTTTTTCCCCTCTTGTAACACAGAGGATCTGGCAGACTTTTACCTCCTGACACTGTTTAGAGCATATATTGGTGGATACAGCCTCTTATTGCATCTGCTCTGGGAATTAAGGAAAGCAGCTTGAAGGCAGTAAGGTAAGTGCTGCTGCATGCTTTAACCGTAATGTTCAGCTGTTTAAATGTAGCTGCAATGGGAACATGAAAACATGACAGGATAAGTTTGCCAATTTGTAAATTGAGCACAAATCAAATTTCACTGTTGGTTCACTTTCTCAGTTTCCTTAAAACAGCTTCACATATTTTGTACATCAGTGTTGCAATTTTTGCAGTCTATTTTGTTCTATATCGGAATAAGATTTGACATAGAGTACAAAGAAGTGTGTAAGAGTATTCACTGTTTACTTTTTCATTCATAATATTAGTGAGAGCTTTGTAAATCCCATTTACTAAATTATTTTGCTTCATTCTAGAAAAAGACAATGTATTCTGATATTTAAATAATCACATAAACAAGGAAAGGGTAACAGTAGGTATTTTTAAATATCTTATTAATTTTGAAGCACATTTTAAATATACTTGTGAAACTTTTAAAAAATATAGTCTTTTGCGAACTGTGTAAGAAGTTAAGCTACAGAATTAAAGTTGATTGACTGTTAATTTTATATTTTTTTTTTCACAATAACTTAATTATTAAGGAAATATAGACAAGGTCAAACATAGTTTGAATAGTATCTCTACCCTAATGCAGCAAACATTTTCCCAAAATCATGGATTTATCATTTAGTATGTTTTGGCAAATTGCCTGAGCAACTTCTCAAATATTTTCACAGGTATTTTGCAACACAACTGCTTATAACAGGCACAGGCAATTAATTAAAGCATGTTTATGTTGTAATATAAGCATCTAAAATGTTTTCTGATTTTATATTTTGGATTCATGTAGTTCAGTGCAACAAATAAGCATGAGCTATTAACCTTTTACACTTCTGATAGTGAGACATTCAGATACCTGAATGAGAAATGCATTAATAAAACAAGTTAATAAATTTCCTCTTTACTTTGCAATCTTATGCCACATACATGCCCATATACCCTTGAACTACAGAATGGTCACATAAACTCCAAAGAATTTTCGATGAATTTATTTAAAACATTTACTATCTAACATTTGAGTTACTGCCAGGGTTCTGCAGAGCAGTAAAACTTTGCACTCTATTTAAAGGACTGTAAGACTATGGCATCAATAATGAAACTTAGCATTACAAATATGATTTGAAACTAGAAGAAAAATAGAATTTGAATTTAAAATGTCTATATTATTTTAAAACTATAAAATTAAGGAGGTGTGTAAAAAATGTCATTGTAAGGCCAAAGAATATAGTCCAAGGAGTTCATTCAACTCTTTTTATACTTTGAATACAGAAGTACTTTATTTCCTTTCTTTAATGTTTAGTACCTAAATAGGACCGGGTTTTGAGATGAATGTGTTACTGCAGTCTTTGCTTTCAGATGAGCTGTTCTTATTTATACCAGCAGGGGACTAAAGGTCGAGCTCACGTTCAGGTTTTATGTTCTCATGCAGTAGCGAAAGACAGGCAAAGGAAATTACACTGACAACTAATATGTCAATGCTTATCCTAGCGTTTGCAATTAGGTAAATGTGATGGGACCAACACCACGGAGATTATATGCAGATTCCTTTTTCAGGGGACAGCAGCTTAATATCTAGCAGTGGGACTTTATAGGTTATTGAGTAGAAGTAACATAAGAATATTTTTAAAAAATTCTTTGTGCTGTACTGCATGAGATCAATAGGCCCTGCCTAGAGATGCTTTCAATGAGATTGTTATCTCACTAGAATATAATATGGCTCTTGAGAAGTCAATAGAAACAAAGATATATAGAGTTAGGGAAAATTTTGTAGGTATGGCCTTGCATTCAAGTCCTCTGTGTAACAATTCCAATAGCAAGAGTAACTTACTCTGCTGGAAGATTGCCCAGATCTGAGATCAATGTCTTGTGGTCTGTTTACAGGCTTCACATACTTTCTGAAATTCCTTGAGAAAAAAAAAAAGGTTTCAAGGATTTTCTTAATCCTCTCATTCTCTGAACAGTAGTTGAGCACTTGGAGCCTTGTCTTTTACTAGTGAAAATCAAAGCTCACTGATTCTATTGATTCTAGACCTACTTTTCCAGCAGAACATCTATCTAGCCAGTTAGAGGTATAAAGAAGATACTAGTCTTCTCAGATTAATTGACAGCTTGTGGAGTACCTGATGAGAAAGCCTTAAAGACTTGAGGCTTTAAAGGCCTTAAAGACTTAAGTCACCCCACATATACTGAATCATAATCATGTCCAAGGACACCAAATATCCTTTTGCTGTATGTGAACTGAAAAACTAACTATGTAAAGCAAGTGTTTTATTAATTTAGAATGGGCATAAAATGTAACCAACACCGTTGTTGTATAGAGAATTAGCAAGAACATTTTCACTATCTGATATTCAGTCTTTTCAGATCCACTGCACACATATGCAATACTGGTTGTTTGGCATGTTAAGGATAATATGTTTTATATTCCTATTAGTTTGCTCTTTAGGTGACTATGAAACTCAGTGGACCATGCTTTAAAGAACATAATCTATGAGAAAAAGATATCTCAAAATACACACACCTTAACACACAATGCATGAGAGCATTACCCTCAGTTTTAAGTTCCCTGTCTCTTTCAAACTAAGTCAAATAGCCACATGTTTAGAAATGAGACAATTCAGCACATTAGGAATGCTTGGTAGAATTTAAATGGTGGAACTGTCTCTGAACATGGTCTTTACCAAAAATGAAAACTACTGTGGCAAGTTTAAAAATCTTGTACTTCATCATCTTTCTTGTGACTTAATCAATGAATGCAGAAAGACATAAAGGAAGTTTTACTTACAATAGCAAAATGACCAGCAATTTTGCATTGCAAAGGAAGATTATACAAGACAGGGCCAGTAATATACCACTAACAATGTAATACTAACAATCCAATATTTTTTTCTTAATTAAAAACTTAAACAGGAACCATAACTAGTTTTTAAATACAATCTTTATGTGGTAAAATTTCAACTATTGCTGAGACAGATAAAAAATTAAAGTTATATCCTGTTTATTCCCTTTCACCATACAGGAACAAGACACATTAGAAAGATGACTCTAAACTCCCTAACTGTCTTTCTGCTGTTGATTAGTGGCATTTTTTGCCAATATGACTACGGTCCTGGAGATGATTATGGCTATGATCCTTTTGGGCCATCCGCAGCAGTCTGTGCCCCAGAATGCAATTGTCCTTTAAGCTACCCTACTGCCATGTATTGTGACAATCTTAAGCTGAAAACCATTCCAATTGTACCAAGTGGAATAAAATACCTTTATCTCCGAAACAATATGATTGAAGGGATTGAAGAGAACACATTTGACAATGTAACAGACCTACAGTGGCTGATCCTGGATCACAATCATTTGGAAAATTCAAAAATTAAGGGAAGAGTCTTCTCTAAACTAAAGAACCTGAAGAAACTTCACATTAACTACAACAATTTGACTGAAGCTGTTGGACCACTTCCCAAAACTCTAGATGACCTGCAATTAAGTCACAACAAGATCACAAAAGTCAATCCAGGTGCATTTGAGGGGCTGATGAATCTGACTGTCATTCACCTCCAGAACAACCAGCTGAAAGCAGATTCTATTTCTGGGGCTTTTAAAGGCCTGAATTCACTTTTGTATCTTGACTTAAGCTTCAATCAACTTACAAAGCTACCAACAGGACTGCCTCACTCCCTGCTCATGCTGTATTTTGATAATAACCAGATTTCCAATATTCCTGATGAGTACTTCCAAGGTTTTAAAGCTCTGCAATATTTACGTTTATCCCACAATAAATTAACAGATTCTGGAATACCAGGTAATGTCTTCAACATCACATCACTAGTTGAGTTGGATCTCTCCTTCAATCAGCTGAAGAGCATTCCAATTGTCAGTGAGAACCTGGAAAACTTCTACCTCCAAGTCAACAAAATTAACAGTAAGTTAAATTTGCACATATTCATTAATGTTTACCACAGACTAGATGGTCAATGCAAGTATCTGAAATAACACATGAACCAGTCTGAAAAAATACTACTAGCACACTGACGTTTTCCTAACAGTTGTCCACATTCATGTAAAAAGATGGATATTTACTGAATAGCCACTCAATATGTCCTTAAAATGAGACATTTATGCTTTCTTACTAATGTGGATTTTTTCCTCAAACTCTTGTCTTTTGTAAATTGGAGTATCTACATAGAAGCCAATGAAGTTGTCTTATACAATTCAGGAAAAAATGCAAAGTTTGATCAGTGCAAAAAAAAGTTCAGCATTCTTAAGTCAACAAAAAGAGAGAGATATCAGGTGAGGCTATGACTATGGTAACCTTTCAGGAGCTGGTAATCAAAATGCTGGAGGGAGGAAAAAGTGAGAAAACAATTGAAAAGGTAGCAGGCACAAGATGCAGTAAGAAAGATACATCAAAGTAACTTCACCTGTTTCTTTCCTCCCTTGCCTCATGCAGCATTTCTCCCAGCCTCTCTTGAACTCCAGAGAGCTGTCCCTGTTCTTTCTTTTCATTCATGTTTCGTACATGATCAGGTGGCAAGTTTGTCTCCATTCACTTATAATTTGGAAAATGTTTATTCTGAAGTCAAGAAATGCCACACCTTGCATGAGACCAGGAAAATTTCTGCAGAGACAGAGCTTGCACAAGGCTGTCCCGTTCCTGGGCTGACAAGGAGGTGCTGCAGAGCTGGAGAGGCCTCACCACCATGCCAGAAGATCCCCAGCTGCACCTCTGTCACTGGTAGTCCCTGATGGAGAGGGAGATATTCCAAATATGACTGTGTTTCTTCAGGAGGATTTATATCATCTTGCTTGTTGATATAAAGTAAACCACAAAATCCTCCCTTCTGTTTGCCTGCTTGTATCCATCAAGGATTAAGAGTATCAGTGTTAGCTACTCCAGACATAGCTAACTCCATGGAGATGTAGTCTTTAAAACCAAATATTTTTAGCGCAGATCTTACCAGACTAAGGGCAAGGTATTTTGAAATGGTTTGTATTTACTATACTTCATTTTTCTCAGTGGCTTTTTTTTCTAGTTCATCTTGGTTTCTTGTTTTGATGAGGGAAAACAATGAGTTAATACTTCCCACCTAAGGCACTACATACAGCAACCTGTGGAAGTCTACCAGATACTCTGCCACTCCTAAAATAGCTAAAAATTATGATTTTTAATTTCTTACGAGATAAAAGCACTTTCCCCAGCTTAGAATGATCTCAGCCTTCTGCAAAATAACCAGGTACCAAGCTTGGCTGCCATTCACTTTTCCAAGGACATCAGAGTCGGGGACTATGACAACAATTTTAGCTTTTCATGGAATGCTGCATTTTCAGGGGGATATGTGGAGAGTGCTATACTATCATTGCTCTCCTATGGACTGATGCAACAGAATTATTATTTACTGGGTTTTTTTCTTTACCATAAAGTCTAGCAGACTTCAACAATCAATTTTCTCAGCTGTCTAATTTCACAGGCATAATATATAGTCCCCTAAGATGCTGATTGACAATGTGGGATAAAAATTAATTAGAAATAATCATTAATATGAGGCAAACAAAGCCCTTTGATTTCACCATTCATGACACCTCATCTACAACTGTGAGTGCTTAGCCTTTTGGGAAATTGAGTTGATTGATTTGTGATTATTCAAGCCTCAAACCAATGACCAGTTCCTTTTTTAATAAATTGTTATGATTTACCAGTGATTTGTGAAAGGATGACTGTAAACCAGGCCAGCTTCTGTTCCATGTGATGGCCTATGGTACCCATATCCAGTGAGAGACTTCTGTCTAAGGAGTAATGATAATTTGTCCTCACATACACAAAAGGAATAATCTTTCAGTTCATGTTTACTTTAAAGTTTTCATTATACTGAGAGCTAACACAAAAGATATTTCTCCACAGTTCTTAACTTGCTATGTTTCCCTTTTCTCATGTACCTTAAAGCTTGTAATTAACATTTATATTTGTCTAAGAAAGAATAATCTCGTTCCAGCTTTGTTGATATTACTGGAAAGAATATTTATCTAAATTACTGTCCATGAGTTTCACCATGGACTTGTTACAATCATTGTGCATTGTCATTCATAAAAAATAATCTGTTTGAGAAATACCCTTATTTGAGTGACTCTGAGTTTTTTGAACAAGAACTGATGATTAAACACGTCAAAATATGTAGCAGAATTGGCTATGCCTTGGTATGTGCTGTTTCCCTCTGTGTTGCAAGAAGCAGTGGGTGAAGCAGATAGCAAACTGTTAAGAAATCAAATTCAGAGTAACTCCTCTGATTTCTAACTAATTAATTGAGGCCAACATCCATTATATTGATTGTAGGTGTCAAATCTACACTTTTATCTACTGTAGATGGTGCTCGTTAGATCTCCAAGCTTGGATGAGACCATGGAAGATTTAGAAAAACTTTTGCTTTCTCCATAGCTCAAACCTAAGCTATAGTTTCTAAATTGAAGTGTGTTTAAGATGCCATTATTATTATATACACACACATGCATGTACACAAGCACACATACACACACAGACAGAGACTTCTGTTACAGAGTCCTCAAGGCAAAAAATACTCTACAGGATGAAAAAAAAAAAACCCAAAAACCATAAACCAAAAAGGTTCAGTGAAACAAGAAGAGGGTCCAAAGATGGCCTTCTCCATATTTCATCTGTACTTTAAGGGATTAAGGAGGAAATTGTTGCTTCCACACAAAACTCCAGGAAGTAATGGGGTTACTCCACATAAATGGAGTACAAAAGGGGAAAATGAAAATGTTCCAAAGGACAGTTAAGAGACTATCAAGTTGTGGACGTGCTTTATGGTCTTTTATCTGGCTCACTCCAAAAAAGGAGTTTTTTGTCTAAAGGCCTATCTAAAAATATGTCACTTATGATTAGTGGACAACAGACCAACAAAAATGACTATGTAACTTCAGATCCTCTTAGGGTTGCCCACTGTACTGTTAGATGAAAATCCAATTTTTATCCAATACTTCTTATTCTCTCAGTGTCTGGCTTATGCAAGAATTTTGTGTTGGGAAAATATGTGGGAAAAAATTCCAGCTATACTAGCTCTGAACCTGAATTTTATAAATTCAGGAAGACATTTTTTCACCTGCAACATTAATAGGTGTAACAAAAGAGGAAGTAAACTACTGAGATATTTGTTGCCACAGTACTCCAGTCTAAAGGATTGCTATTCCCCATACAGCTCATAGAGGTAACAGCTCAGCAAGTGCACTCACAAGATCCACTGGTCTTATTTTGTGCTAGTAGAGACTGCAACTAAAATGAAACATTTTTTAATATGCTTTAACAACAGAAAATTATATGAAGAGTATAAAAAATCTATACCCACATTTAAAAGATGGGGACCATATATTGGAACAAAATCCCACTGAGGTCCACAACTGACTTCATTTGACTTCTGTGAAGCCAAGATCTCCATCCACTTCTCAAGTGGTTTTAGCCTCATAAACAGTCAGTACAGATCAGAGTTTTGTTATCACAGTTCAATTTTTTGGTTTACATGTATGAAATTTATGTCCTTTGAGCAGTTAATTGTCTATCCAGCTTGTATAAGCATATCTTCTTTTGCAACCAAATGTTAGTATTTATGCTCAAAAGTAACAATATGGGGAAAACACCCTAAAATTTAAATTTATAAAGTTTTTAGAGTGTTTGTTGTCAGCAAAAATATACTTACCATGTCACTCCTAAATGACAAGATGATGGAAAAATCAATATTAGAATTCAGGTTTATTTTAAACTTTACACATTAAACCCAAGTTATCTGAAGAAAACTGGAACTAAATAGTCAATGATATAGCCTATAGCCCAATAAAATGAGTTTAAATCTCAGGAATTTATGTTTTCATTCAGCATACAGACATAATCCTATAAACATCTCTCAGATCACATGATCTTAATGAACAAGAATAATTAATTTGTTTCTGCTGGTGCATTCTAAACCAGAAGAGTATTAGATTTGGTCTGAAGTCTTAAAATTTTACTGTACTACAACATGGACTGCCCAAAGGACGCCACTCATCTTTCACCCTTCCAAAAGAAGGATGCACACTTCACAAAATCTAGGAAATTTCTTTGATTTACTTTAATCAAATTGGTGATCAAGATCTGACTTTAAAATTATATTTACTTAACTCCTACTCAAAACAACTTATTTTGTAGGTGGTACTTGAGTCTTTACCCAATCTTAACATCATATCTCAGTCCAAAATATTACCTAAGCTCTTATGGTCTAAAGAGCTGCCCGTGCATTTATACTTAGTTTACAAAAGCCATGTTTCATTATTGATAGAAAATTATTGTAAAGCATGTCCTGGAAGAATCCAATTAGAAGGATGTTAATCCAAAAGTTAATGAGAAGATATGAAAAGTACTTTCTCCACTTCCTTTAGTACTACAATTTGATCATACTTTGTTAGATGAGACCTAGGAAAGGTAAATCAAATGACATTTGATTTTGATAGTACTAACTTAATGTCTCAGGAATTACGAGATGCATGGGTTCATTGAAGGAGTCCCTCTAACCTTTTAAAGTCTTTTCTGTTTGAATTCATGCGATGTCAGATTTCTGAAGAAGAACAAGTCCCTCAGACTGTTTCTTTAGTAATTATAGAGCTTTTCAATAGATGATTCCTCTGTCTGACTCAAAGAAACAGTGAATGAAGACCCTCTTTGCAAAATTACACAATGTGGTATTCAGGGGACATCAGATTCATTCACATACATTCTCTCCTGAGGATGGATCTTCTCTGCATGAAAGAGGTCTATAATATAGGCTGGTGTGCACAATTCATACTGAGCAGAGAACTTCAGCGATTCATGCAATTTCTAGTTTACAGTTAATACTGATCAGTGCACACATGACAAATTTCCGTTCAAGATCTATCTGGTGTTACGTGAACTAAATAGTATTCCAACTGAATAGAGACCATATATAACATGATATAAAAATTAAAATAAATATTTTATAAGTAATTTTTGCATTCATACTCACCTAAGTCTGATGTGGAAAGGTTCAACTGCACAATTTAAATGCCTTTTCCAACCCTAGACCCAAATTTCATTCTGAAACAGGTAAATCAAAATGGCACAAATAAAATAAATACAAAATACACAAACACCCATTGGACTACCTGTTCTTTAGGGTAAAGCTGTATCATGGTTTCAATTTCTCCAGAAACTTTTACTTCCTTCAATGTCTTCTAAAACACTTTTACCCTTCCATTGTAATGTACACAAACTGACTGATTCCTCCCTCTGCATCTCTAGTTTTTTTAAGAGTTATTTTTCCTTTTATCTAAATGCCAGATTAGACCTCTATGTAAAATCTGAAGTCAAAAAGTCAAACTCGTACTGGAAGAAAATGGCATTTGAAAAACTCAGACTTGAAATTCTGAACCTCTCACAACTAACAGAAAGAACCTCACCCAACACAAGTCCCTCAAGTTCCAATAAATTTACAGGGATTTACATCAGTGCAAATGCAAAATATTGAAAATACTATAATGAATTAAGGTCACAATTTTCAACTGAAAAAAAAAAAGCAGAAAAATAAAATAATTGTTTTGTCCTAATTGTTCTAATTATTCATGTTTTCCTCTTTTTTTTTTCGGTCCTCTTTGCTTCAGAGTTCCCACTGAGCAGCTTCTGTAAGGTGGTTGGACCGACGACCTATTCCAAGATCACCCACCTGCGTCTGGATGGAAACAACCTCACTCGGGCTGACCTGCCACAGGAGATGTACAACTGCCTTCGAGTGGCCGCTGAGATTTCACTGGAGTGAGATACCTGTGGTCATACAGCTCCCTTCCAGGGGCAGTGACTGCAGGAACAACACACCATGGTAGTGCTTTAAAATTAGGATATGCCTTAAAGCAAGTGTCAATCTGCATATTATCCATTCTGTTTGTTAATGTTTAACAAGGACTTGGCAAACTTAAGGGAACGTGTGCATATTTTTACAAATGGTTCTGTTTAGAAAGGACAAGAATTACCAAATCTGATGAAAAATATGTCTTTATCTGGATGAATTAGTTGATTAAAAATATTCAACTTCATAAAATTCTATATTCATGCATGCAATAAAAGCCAGTAGGTTCCAGACTCACAGAGATTCATTATGAGTTATAGTGAGCAATAAGGGCTGGCCTGTGTCCATACAAGATTCCTGTCCAACTTTCCTAATCATCATGCCTTTTATATATTGTTACCCACTGCAAAGGCAAAAATAATTTAACAATATATGAACAATTTAAAATTTGTGAAAATATGTGTTCAGAGCCTATGACATTGCTATGTTAATGGAATACATGAAAGATAACAAGGAAAAAATATTCAGGTAAAATAATTGTTTACTCTTCTTTTTGTCATGCTTTCATTTAACTGTCATGGTAAGATTTTTATTCATTGCTGTTATAATTGTTATTTCAAAAAAATCATATATACAAATATTTTTATTCAATTGCTTGCATGCTATTTTTAACCAGACTGTAGAAAATAAAACATATCAAATAGTGTCCTTTGTCCATATCATTGACAACTATGTTTCTTTCTTCAATAAAATTTAAAAAAAAACAGGTTAGGACAAGACAATCTAAGCTATTCTATCATTACTAAAATTTATTTTAAGGTTAAATAAACTGTTTTCTCTGTTTTGGTGTTTCAATATGTTTGTACACATAATTTAACATGCGCCACTGCACTTGTGTTGGCCAATAAATCGATGCCTTATGAAGTTTTTAGTATAGGAATCATAGCACTATGAAAACGTGCAAACTAATGTTTCAGTATTGTCAAAAGAACAGTGAAATCTCTCAGAAACCACAGGTGGTGAGTAAAATGCAGCTACACATGCTAAAGACATGGTAGTATGTTCCACCCAGGACTAAATAGTCCAAATATTGTCAGCATCTTGGAACACACTAAAATAAATGTGTTAGTAACTGAGAGCTGTAAGTGGCTTGCTTGCAAGTACAGATGATCCCATGGGCACTGTTTTCTTTTCAACTACTAGACTATTAAACACTCAAGCAGAAACCTTGCTAGTTTCTATAGCAAAAGCAGAAACTATCACCTCTGAGAAAAACCCCAAACCAATTCATACCAAACCATTTAGTTGGCATGTTGCCAGTTCCAGATGTTCAAAATCAAAACACAATTCACAAAGAAACCTGGGACTAAAACAAAAGGAGAGATTCAGAAAACAATAGAAATGTTTCCCTCCTTATTTTTTTTTCATTTTGGAATTCATAAATGTTGCTGGTTTTTTACCCATGTACAGGAAGGATTGACAGTAAAATTTTTTACAAGTTGGCTAGAATTTTCATTGAAGAATGGAGTTTAAATCTGGGGCTTTCTGAACACATCAGGGTGGGAATCACTGAGGAATATCACCTAGGAATTGTAACATAGAAAAAGAAGAAGTGCATGTAAAACTCCCCCCAAAAAAGAAAATTGAATGAGAAATTATATTTAACCATTTCCAGAGATCTTTTAACCCAACTGTTCCCTTCATGGAAAAATATAGTAAAAACTAAGACTTCTAGAGTACAAACTGATAATGAGATATGTCACCTGATTGCTGTAATCCAACAACACAACAGAAAAGTATAATTCTTTTCAGCTTGTTTCAGTACACTGATTACTTTTATGCAAAATTTGAACAGTGAGGCTGAGAACAGTGCAACTCATGATAGATTACACTCTGTTAAGAGAACTTCCCTCAACCTTCTTCTTTCCAGGTACTGCCAAGATACTTCCCTTAGCCTCTGTGAAGATACCATATGTGTCAGTCCATGTCTTACTACATTCTGCCACTGCCAAAAAGAGTGATACAGAAAATGTCCAGTTTCAGGGTGCATGGTGAAAGGGAACCGTGGCAAAAAGTTCCAGAAGGAGAAATTTGAGCTGGACACACAAAAAAATTCTTCACAGTGAGTTCATAAAGCACTGTCACAGATTGCCCAAGGAGACTGTGGACTTTCCATCCTCAGAAATTTTCGTAACGTGCATGGGAAGTGCCATGCAGATTTGTCTTTGAAGCTGGCCTTAATTTTAGAAGTAAGTTGAACTAAACAACCTTCAGATGTTTCTTAAAACTTATTTATAACTTCTCTGAACCTGTGATTCTAAGAATACTAGTAACCAATGGGGAAAAATGTCAATTTTACTAACCAGTTCTAGAGCTGAAGAGTTTAGTTTGAAAATTCATGTGGAAAATGTCTTGTTTCGGTTCCAGTCCATAATTCCAACTCATGTGATACTCACAAAATCTTAACTTAGCTAAGATTTAGTTATAGATTCCATAGGCAGGAACTGTGGAATCTTTCTTTCGATACCTTTTCTGGCTTGTGAAAATCTGCTCCCATTTTAACATTTGTGATTTACTGAGTAGTGGCAGTGAAATCAGAGATCCATCCCTTCCAGCTCTCCCATGTGGGACAGCACTAGCAAATATGGCACCATCCTGATGGACAGAGTGCTCATGGAGGACATTTTGGATATGAATTTTTTTTCAGATTCTGATCTTGGTTAAAAGGCTTTCCATCCATAAGAAAAATTACTTAATTGGTAGACTTTAAGGCTTTCACACAGAAATAATTCTCTTTTCTAATTAGTCTGAAAAGTTTAACATCAATTGAAATGAGAATGGAGTGCTAGCTGCACTTTAGGACACTCACGTTGAATATAGAAAGGTCAGGTTCAAGTACCAGGACAAATTATCACTTCATTATGTAAAGAAAAGCAGCTTTAGAGGATGGAGCACTTTTTATCACACTGTTTGGGGATAAGATTTTAATTGTTGGCTAAAATGTATTGCTACTTTTTAGTGCTATGATGCTTTGTGGGTGTAACCTCTTCTACCTCTTTTAAGAGGTGAATTATCTTCATTTTCATAATTTGAATTTTTAATCTACAAATCAAATAACATATTTTTAAGAAGTTTTGATTACTAGAATAGTATTTTTTAAAGTATAATCTCTCTTATGTGGTACCTCTGTGGTACAGCTAAATTTTTATGCTGAAATTGTTAAAAAAATGCAGAAAATAAAGAAGAAGAGGAGAGCTGCTCCACTGTGCGAAAAAAAGTAGTTTTGCCTTTACTCTGTGAATCCCAGTGTGGGGCAATGCATACAAGTCTGAAATGGTATTTGGTCAACCTGACCAGAGCATGTATTCAAATAACTATGAAGACACTTTGGAACCTAATAAATAATACTTGTAAAAAATATTTCTGTTGATCATAACAACACTTTCATTGAAACATGCAAAATATTTCAGACAGAAGTACCGAAAATTGTTATAAATTTCCTACGTTATAAACCAATTTAATAATAAGCTGTCTTGAAGATAAACAAGTCTATCAAATTTCCTATTTCCATCATCTTTCCAGTAGCACATCATGTGATTTTGCCACCCATCTTACTACACACACTGGTTTCTAAACTACCTGAAGAGAAGTCTCCTGAACTTCACTTTTAGATTTCATCATTACAGACATTTTGCTGTCAAAAAAAAAACCAGTAAGACCAGTATGTTCTCAAAATTATGTGCAATGCTGCATTGATTTGAAGAAGAATTTGTGATTACCTGTGTATAAAAAATGAGTTGTGTTTTTGGGGGTTTTGTACAGGTTCCTAAGTTTGGATAAGAAGAGCCATTCCCTGCCATATTATTATTCCCACCCTCAATTCAGAAGAAGGAAAGATGTGCTGCTCCTAATGGAAATGACAGCCTTGAGCTGAGGTATGTATTACCCAGAAAAACAGAAGGGACCTAGGCATTTACTGCTGGGATTCCCAGCTGCCACCAAGAAGAGCATGTCATCATCTAAGAAAAGGGCAGGTGGTGTTGAAGAGCACCCCTTTGATTATTTAGGGTTATTTGGGTCATTATTTAGGGCTCTGGACTCAAGCACCACTGCATGGTGCTTGGACAGGGATGGGTGATGAATTCTCCCTGGAGCTGGGTTCCAGAGCTGCCTTCAAAGAAAAAGGTGGTGCCAGTTTGCATCAAAGTGCTGCTGCGTGTTGAGGAATTTCATCTACACACTAAAGATTCAGTTTCAACATGTTCCATCTGAAAGGATAATCAGTGCCTGGAGTAGTCATAGTGAGGTGAGATTTGAGCTTGAAGTTGGGACTCTGGAAGAAAACTCAAGTGCTTTGGGAAATACCAGCTCTTGAAAGCAATGCCTGATATCGCAATTTAAGAAAATAAAAACCACATAGTCTAATGTTTAATTTCAGTATTTCCCAAGAGTATCTGCATTAAAAATTAGAGCAAAAATTACTACAATTAACGGAAAATAAGAGCTGAGTTTTCATATAGCTTATGCCATTTGGCTTTTCTTTCTAAATATTAAAAAAGCCCATGAACCTTGAATTTCTCATGTGACAAAATCACTGTAGCAGATCATTACAGTAAAGGGAATAAATTTCTTTTTCATTAAGTTGTAGGAGTTCTCTTTCAGGCAATCCTTGTCATTCATTTTGGAGGACAGAACTTTGCATAACTTTAAACTTGTTGAAATCTATTTTCTTACTGTGGGGACCTAAAATGAAGCTGAATTAAAATATTTTTGGACTTCTTTAACAACAGAAGGAAACAAGAAAATAGGAGTTAACATAAATTAAGGATAAAGATATAATTAAAGGATACTAAAACCAGTTTGTTTTCACTATCCTTATTTTATCTCAGAATATTTAATCCTTGATGGCCTTTTGAACAAAACTTCTGCATGTTTACAGAATGGACATCAGATCAATAATGCATATTTCATTTACCATTAGTTGTCTGGAAAATATAAATCATCTAAATAGCTACACGTTGTCCCAGCAACTCAATATATGTGTGTAATTGATAAATGCATGTTAGATAATTTGACATACATTTATCATTTTAAAAATAGAGTCACAGGGTAGGATAAATTTGTTTCAGAGTTGAAATTGTTGAAATCATGAAAACAAAGTAAAGTAAGAGATTGACAGTAACATTTCCATAGTTATTAAAGTAGACCTAGCAAGCCAAGACAAATACCAGATTTTGGCACTACGTCATGGAACTTTTTGGTGTCACTGTGGTAAAGAGTTCAAACCAGAGAGAAAGCGAACAGAGTGCCAAAACATTATTTAATGAAGCATATTCAGGAGACCAATATATTTCCCATAAAAGCTGAGCCCTTTTCCATAGTTGTTCTTTTCTGAAATGTGTTGGTCTGCAATGATCACTTTCAGCTAAGCTACTCAGTTCCCACTACAGTTTTGATAAGGGAGTGAAGTTGTGCAGAAAGTAAACTGCTAAAGTTTTGTTTCTGGACTTTTAGAATGGGATCTTATATCTTATATCTTAAATCCTATATAAACAAGCGGTCAGGTGACATCCCCTTTGAACAAATTAAGCTAGCCAAACTGTTCTCCCGGGCTTCTTTAACCAATGTATTTTGATCAAAGCTGAAAGCTCCCCATGTAAAACTCCCTATACTTAGCTGCCTGCATATGCACAAAAAAAGCCTATTTAAATAAGAAATGCAATTTCTTCCACTGTGAGGTCTAATTCTAGACTTCTAGCAGAGGTGCACCATTCCTGCTCCTAAGTCTGTTTTGTTTTAACTTCTTTTGTTCACTAGGAATGACGCAGAGTAAAATACATCCATAGGAGCAGGGCCTGGAACATCTGGGCTGGTCCTTTGATCTGTCTACAGTATCCCTTGGGCTAGCCTGAAGGGCTCAGTCATCTGCTTTCTTTTAGACTCTTTGATCTTGCTGACCTTTGGCTGTTTTTTAAAATGAGCAGCAGATATTATTAATTGAGATATATCACTGTCTGGTGGTCAGGGAACTGTTTGGAAATAGAAATTTTGTCTTTTTGACTCTGGGTAAAACTCTGATCAGCAATGCAGAAAGAGAGACATCATTACATGCCTGTTACCAGAAGTGAAAGAGGCAGACTGAACCCTCAGTAAAAGTCAACACCCCCATGAAGATGTCTGGAGCTACTATTAGGAGTATAGAATGAAGGTATGATACACAAGCTGGAATTACTGTCTTCAGCTTTTGAAGCACTACCTTTTCTCTAGTAACCATGAAGATAATTCAAGAGTCTGTTTCAGCTGAATTGATTGTCCTGTGGAGCACGACACACAGTTTTTAGTAAAGTACTGCCCAAATTCAGACACCCTGGACTGCAGCCTTTGCTAAATGGAGCAATCCACAGGACTAATGAGTAAGCTCTGCCTGCAGTACACTCCTGGGTTTGCTGGTGATGAACTATACACATGCTTGATGCTTAACAGACCTTGCTTCTAATTCAATCTGAGACATATGGCAGCCATTACTGAGCGAAAGCAATGCACTTTTTCACTGTCAGCAGCTCTGATGCTAAAACAGAACAGCTCCAAACAGCACTCCCAGTTATCCATTTCTCCTCCCAATGGGTCTTTCTAGCCTGTCTTTTTCACTCTTCTAGTCTTTCTCAAGGTTGTGAGCTGTTTTAGTTTGAAGCATGTACATTACTTCTCTCAAGGAGATGTTATACCCCCTGCAGTTGTTGATACTCTTTGCTTTTTTATACTTTTTTAATACAATTTCTCTTGATTAATAGTGTGGATTGAAAGGAGACACATGCAGTAAAAATCCCATAATAGATTCAGACAACTTTCTCAAACTTGAAGAAACCCAACAATATCTCTTAAAAATTATCTCCAAAAATGAGGGTGGGTATCCACAGTATTTTTAATGCAATATTTTTTCCACTTCCTTTTATTGTTGTGCAAATACATGTCATACTGTTACTTTTTGAGAGATTGTTCATGGTCTCAGGAGCACTTTGTCTTTCACTGATATTTGCCTTTGAGCACTCAGCTTCTCAAGTTAAAAATTACCTCATTAACACAAAATTCTTAGCTGTCTCTTACTGAAAATGAGGTTCTGGAAAGAGTCTCATGTTGGATACGCAAAACAAAAAGTCTCCCAAATTATTAGTCATTTTTGAAAATCTTGGCCACAGTCTTTTATTAGGCTGTAAAACTTTATCACTATAAAGTGCAACCTTTAAATAAGAAATATTTTACACCAGATGATGAAGGACTCAACACAACAAATGCATGATATATGCATAATCTTGAAGGCTTAATGGGAAGAAGGTTTTCTGCAAAATCTGCTTAGATGCCTAGGCAATCACTTGTCTCTGCAGAGATATTTCAAAAATTTTTGAGAGCATGTATGAATACATATAACACTTGTAAACACTCTTGCTTCTTTATTTTGAAGACATTTCTTGTCTTTTTCTCTTCTTTGCTTGCATCAGAAGAAAAGGAAATTTACATTCTTGAGAAAGTCTTGGAAAATATATTCTTCTCCTAGTGAAGGACTCCTCCTTTGAATGGGATGGAAACATGTTTGATAAGGATCAAATACTTGCCTCTAAATCCACAAAGGGCAGATTGTGACCCCTTGCTGAACATTATTTCATACAAATAGTAGCACTGCCTGCCACAAGGTAAACAGCAAGTCCCTTTGCCAGGGAGTTCTGTGATGACATAATTAATATCTGGACATAATTAGCAGGTAAAAATAGCAGGTTAATTCAGACCACCACCATGAAGCATAAGATAAATCAATCTTTTTTGTTGTTGCTAAATGTAAACATCTGGCAGCATGCATTTAGGTGTGACACAGCAGATATCTGCCATCAGGACTTGCAATTTCAGCACAACATTTGGGATGGACTCAGCTCATTCTTTAGTGGCAAAGAGACCTCAGTGCCTCCATAGTCTCTCTACACACTTTGTGAGGATTTAGGACAAAGGCAAACCAGATTTATACTGCACAACTGCTTGTTGTTTACAAGAATCAGAGATGCACTTTTCATGGTGAAGCCTCCTTAAATGGCTTACAATTGGACACACAACTATTTTAAATTTCACACAGTGGTGTCTCCCCCCATCTCTCTTGGATGGACTACAGCTGCCAATCCTTGTCATTAATGTGGGGTACTAGCTCTGCTGCAGGAGGTCCAAGTCTTAAACATTTTAAGTTCCAGGTGTTTAAAATGACATTCATAATGAAAATTGGGGGGTTTTATGACTTTTGTCCTATAATTAGTACATCTGCTTAAAACAAGAACCTTTATTTTCAGGCATAGTTGTTAATTAATTTAATCTAATTTAAATTATGAAAATATTCATGCATGAAGGAATCAGTTTTACACCTGCTTTGTAAGAAATCCGTGATAAACTTTAAGAGGTGTTAAAGGGCCTGGAGTGCTAACAGAGTGAAACACTTAAGCTCTTGTTTTATTTTTAGGCACATAAACAATACAAAAATTAGTGATGTTAAGGATGCATTTTTTCATAAAGAAACATGGTGGTACAAATATAACTAATGAAAAACCTTTATGATGTGTCTAACATTAGCCTTACTGAAGTCAGTGAAAGCTGCCTATGTATTCAAGGTTTGCTTTCCTTTCTTTTGACTACTTTTGGTCTTTTCTGCTTCTAAATTTCTTTTGAGACATTCTGAGTCTAAGAAGCAAGGGATTAAAAATTACTAAATAGGTTGTTATAGGTTCAATAGTTAAAATCAAACAGATGAAAATGAATTAAAATAATTATGCAATTAAGTTTTAAAACTAATATAACTTATTTAAAGTAACAGGATATACATTTTATGTTTTCAATATTTTTCATTATATTTTCCCTTAAAATATTTTGTCATTGCTCTTGCTTTGAACATGAATAGTTTTTCTGATATGAAGTTGTTACTTTAAGTTTGGACTAAAAAGGAAAACAAAAATCTTCCAAAATACTTAATGTGAGAAATATGTGTCTATCTTTGGAGAGCAAGTTGGCTGCAAAGAGTTTGCTTTAGATCAATGAGGAAAGAAAATTGCAGGAGACACTGGGGAATATTATAACTTTGTAGAAATACATGTCAATGTCTCTCTGAACAAAAAGGAAAAAGTAAGATTTAATCTTTAAAACCTGAAAATATGTTATTAAAAATTCTTAGCAAATGCATTTGGTCTCTTCTTCTCCTAATCAAGAACTTTGTCTTTAAATGGCATGACAGCATCTGCATTTAATAAAAATCAAATAAAATATTTCCGTAGAAACAGATGGCACTGGTTTTAATCCTTTGTGGCCAAGTCAGGTATTATGAGAACGAGTTATGATGTAAGTCAGCTTTGCGTGTAAAGTATCTTCTAACAAAAATCTTGAATAAATGTACATTTTGGGCTACCTGTTTCATCTAGACCAGCTCCCCTCATCTGATAGAACATAAAAAATCAAATGCCTTCAGCTCAGTGGCTGGTTGATATTAAGGCCAGGCTTTCCTTCTTTCCCTGCCTAGGTGCTGAGGTGCCTTAGCTGTTTCAGGGGTTAAAAGCTGTAAGCACTGATGCGTATATATGAGGCTGTATTCCTAGAACACGGCTTGTAGCCTGACTCAAGCTATTACAGTCTAACAACAGGGACCAATAGAAAGAGAAGAAGATCCAAGAAAGCTGAGGTAAGCCCAAACTCTGCAACAATGTCAAACTAGAAGCAATAGCTAATAAGGTGTGCATGGAAATACATCTGGGAATACTAGTATGTACTTCCAGTTTTATATGCTGCTAATTCTTAGGAGGACAGGAAACAAACACAGGGGTTAGCAGCCAAAAGCGGTGAGTTTACAGTGATTTCTAACTGGCTTCAGATAGCTCCAGGAACTTGACTAACAAGGTAAATTGCTTTATATTTCTTTTTTTTTAAGTGTTATTAAGGCTATGAATACTTACAGAGTAAGAAGGTCGCAAATTCACTGTGGGAAATAGAAATGTTATTCTTTAGAAATACTTTATTTGTCCCTTTCTTTGGAATGGTTCCAGATAGCAGCTTCTGGGGCTGGAAAAGCTATAGGATTCTGCACTTGTTACTGCTAATAACAATGTTGAAAACTATTAAATTACTACGTATCATATGCAGCAACTGAACTGAGCTCTTAACCTTACTCATGCACTAATCTTATGAGAGAATTTACTTTTTGTTTAAATACTATTTTTGTCAAAACCAACCGCTTAATTTTGACCAGAAATTTCAGCTATTTTTGTCTCTACATTGCAAAATGCTTGTTAATCTTCATGAGCCAGTAAGAAAGATAACAGAGTTTGTAAGGCACTGTTTTTGTGCTACACAAATATTTCCTTTCTGAGTAAATTATCAGTGATAATATTTTTCATAATTATAATTGTGGAAGAGGCTATAAAAAGCAAATAATTGAGAGGAAAAAGAATTAAAATATGCATAAATGTATATGAATAGTTTGGTCAGGATTTGCTTCTTGTGGATATAATTTAGTTAGGGCATATTTTTTGTGTCATTTAGAGCAGGCATTTGTTTTGTCTGTTTGCTTTAGGGAAAGAAATTTGTAACTTTGGATATGAGAGAGTGAGGAGTGAGGCAGGGAATGGATTAGTCAAACATATTCCCTCCAAGCTTTTAAGAACATGCCCAACAAACAGCTGTTAAAACACTATTTGATCTTTCACTTTTCAATGAAGATAAAAGACCCTGGAAAATCTGATCCAGATGCCATTATAATTTAAGAGAGAGCAAAAACAGAAAAGAGGGTATGATTAATTTTAAACAGAGGAACAGTAAGTACAATAGTATTTATAACATCATGGAAATTATATCTTTTCTGAAGATTAACCATTATATAATGTAGATAATAGGTCTGTACAGGAAAGCTTACACAAATTTAAAAGAGGTACTGAATTATTATCTAAAAATTATCCATATTTTCATATATTTTGAAATGATACTTGCATGAACATCAGTTAAACTGGCAGCCAATGTAGAGTCTAAGCTGAATCAGGGAGATGTCTATCAACACATAGCACAGAATTGTTTATACCTTTTATATTTCTTTTCAGTTTTTCCTTAACAGGCCATAGATACCACCCTAGAGGAAATAATTTGGTTCTTTATAAAGGAAATATTATTTTATATGCAAAATTTTATTGTTAATCTAGTATGCTACTAGGGAGTTTTATTGAGAAACAGCTAATTGTTTTTTTTCCCCCTTCTAAGGCAAACACCATGATTCTAAAAGTCTATACAAGCCTTTTGCTCTTATTTTTGGTCAATTCCGTGTGGACTCGAACTGTGAGACAAGTTTATGATGATCTGGATCCTGGCCATTGGTCTCACTATACCTCTGAGTGTCCACAGGAGTGCTTTTGTCCTCCTAGTTTCCCCAATGCATTATACTGTGATAACAAAGGACTTAAAGAAATACCTCCAATCCCAGCCAGAATTTGGTACCTCTATCTTCAAAACAATCAAATTGAAACAATTTCAGAGAAGCCTTTTGCCAATGCCACTCATCTGAGGTGGATAAATCTGAACAAGAATAAGATCACAAACAGTGGGATTGAGAGTGGTGTGCTGAGCAAGCTGAAAAGACTGCTTTACTTATTCCTTGAAGATAATGAATTGGAAGAGGTGCCTGCTCCATTACCAGTGGGTCTGGAACAGCTAAGACTAGCTAGAAACAAAATCTCCAAAATCCCAGAGGGAGTCTTCAGCCACTTGGAAAACCTTACTATGTTAGACCTGCACCAGAACAGTTTGTTGGACAGCGCTCTTCAAAGTGACACCTTCCAAGGACTCAACAACCTTATGCAGCTCAACATAGCAAAAAATTCACTCAAGAAAATGCCTTTAAGCATTCCAGCTAATACACTGCAGCTGTTTTTGGACAACAACTCCATCGAAGTTATACCAGAAAACTACTTCAGTGCAATACCCAAAGTGACTTTCCTTAGGCTGAACTACAATAAATTATCTGATGATGGTATCCCTCCAAATGGGTTTAATGTTTCATCTATTCTAGACCTACAGCTGTCCCACAATCAGCTCACTAAAATTCCACCAATCAATGCTCACCTGGAGCACCTTCATCTTGATCACAACAAAATCAAAAGTAAGTGTGCATTACCAGTGTGGGACCCTTCAAAACCATATCCATTTTAAATGTCTCCTTAACTATAAAAATGCTCTTTGAGACAAAGTGATTAAAATAATGGAATCACTGAATAATTTAGGAAGAAAGGGACATCTAGAGATCATTTATTCCAACTTTCCTGCAATAAGCAGGGATATTTGGTGAGGTTTCTCAGAGCCCTGTCCAGCCTGACCTTGAAATTTGCCAGGGATGGGGCATCCACTACTTCTCTGAGAAAAATATTTTTGTGTTTTACCAATTTTGCATCATATTTGTTGTATTAAGATTTATGTCTTCAAAAGTTTTCAATTTCGTGCAAATGAGATGAAGTTTTGTTCCCAAGGTGGCAGAAGCCTGTTGGTTTTAATAGTTTCATTTCCAGGACTGTTTCCAAATTCATCCAGGTATAGAGGGGGTGTGGTGGTTAGGGATTTTACATACTCTATATAATGAAAGTATCTAATCAGTAAGTACTTCATTTCATGCCAAAAGCCAAAATAAAAATGATGACTTTTTATTCACCACTGCACAGAAGGAAGCCAAGTTTCTATGTTTATCTTCTCATCATGGTGATTTAATTGAATATATGATCCTTTACCACTTTTTTTTGTGCCACTGTAGTCCAAAAATACACTAAAAAGAATGGTTTGGTTTTTGGACAAAACAAGGACCTATGAAATGAAGATACTTCTTGATAATTTATGTTTATTCACTGCATTTGGCAAAATAAAAATGTGAAATTATATAAATAAATTAAAAATTTGTATAACTGGTGCATATTTAAGTGGCCTGCAAGAATTCTTTTAATTAGAGTTAAAGCTTATGACAGATGCTGATTCTGAACATATTTAATTGCCCCCTGGTTACTAAGAGATTTATTTTAATTGCTTCACTGCAAGGCCTCAGGTGCAGACTTTATTCTGTCACTTCAAGTGGATATAAAATTGAAATCAATGGAATGTAGCCTGTCCAGTTTAAGAACACTTTTCTGTCTAGGTAGTCTTAAAGAGCTGTCCAGTCCTCTTCCTTCCCTGTATAAGTTTGATGAAGCTTAAGACCACGAAAATTAACTTTTGTGGTATGTACAAAATCAAGTCTCAAGTTCCCATGACACATGACCTGTGAAACTGAATCTTGATGCTTTTCCACAAATCTTGTATTCCTTAATGCCTTTACCACCTTTCAAAAATCATTGTTAACTTTGTTAACTTAAGCACAAGTTGGCTTGTGGCTAATTGACTTTAGTCAAAAAACAAAAAAAAGGGAATTCTTAGTAACTGAATATAAAATAGTTGCAACCTGATACCTTAAATGAAACTTGGGTATCATGTAAGGGTATTTTACCACATAAAATAATCATTCCAGAAGTAAGGGATAATGGCATAGTCTCCCTGAGACATTGCTCTAATTGATAATATCTTAAAGGGCCTTTAGGATTGCAAACAAGGAATGTAATTCCATCAGGCCAGAGTAATAAGAGCAGAAGTTAATTCTGCAGATTGGTTTTGTCTTCTTAAAGAAGATCAGTCATTGTTTTAAGATTATCAACGTAAAAGGTTTGAAATAAAATATCTGTAAAGTCCTGATCTAGTTTCTTCACAAAAGAGTCTGGCTGAAGGTTTACTTTTATGTGTGCAGTACAAGCCCTTTTTATACCATTAATTCTCTTCACAACTGCAAATCACTGCTTTATTTACTACTGCTGAATCACAGTTACACTGTTATCATTGCAAGAGTTCAGACATCAGCATTTCTATGTAAACACCATTTGTCTATGTTTTATTGTATGCTATTTTGTACTATCAATTCTTCATAAAGTGCACAGCCTTATTTCTCCAGAGACCATTTATGAAGACACAAGGTCTTCTTCTGAAACCCAGGAAAGCCAAAGATAGCCTCATCATTTGTCTCAGTGGAACAAGAATTTCACCTGTAATTCCTTCCCTAAGGATCTCAATACACAGAGGAAAAAACTATTCTAATTTTGGAAGTAAAATCAACTAAAATCCAAAACTAATTATGGCTCCAACAGATTTGCAGCACATTTGATCTATGGCATTTTAAAACACACATGCCTACATATTTACCTGGGAGATACACTAGTGAGGCTCTGGTAAATTGTTAAATAATGGAAAAGAGAATGTTCAAGTAAGCAAAGAGAAGGTATGAAATGAGGTAACAAGTGATCAAGGGTGAGCAGGTGGTATTATTACAGTGCTATCAAATGAAAAGTGAAAGGGAATAAACAGTAAGTCCACCTGGAAAAACACCAGGAGGCCGAGATAGATACTGTAAGCTAATATTATTCCCCATTTAGAGAAAGGGAGAGATCCCTGGGCCATGTATCTAAATTGTGTTTCTAAATTTTGTTTCTAAATTTTACTGGAAAAAGGTCTTCTGCACTTCAGCAGACACACAGTATTAGCCATTAATGAGAACCTCTTGGGCTCTAGGTTTCATGTTTAAATATTAAAGGACATAGCAATTCTGTTATCAAGTGGTGGAATTCATCTTTGAATAAACTATTCTAGATTTTTTTATCTAATTTATGGTAGTCATAAAGACCTCCTACTCAATGGAAAAGGATACATAATTGTATAGGGAAACGTATCCCATCTTAAGGAGCTGCCAGTCCCCTTTTGGAAGTATTCATCTCTGTCTGAATTTATACAGAGAGTCTAAATGGTTTACATAAGCTGACACAACTTCTACATGGATCATGGCAAGGCGAATTGTACCTCTGGAAGGAATAACCTGTTCCTCCCACTTAAACAGAATTCAGTAATATATCCATGAAGAGTATTGAAAGAGAGAAAAAAAAGAGAGAGGCTATTATTCCCCTGATAGTTTGGGTAGGAATTTGTTGTTTATAGAAAGAGAACAATAAAACCCGAAACAATTCATACCACACATCACCAGGAAATAACTTCTTCCTAGGTGGCCTGTGGTTAGATAACTGCTGCCTCACTTCAAGGCTGGAGTAATTAACCAAGTGAAAACGAGTGCAGTGAGATAGTTTTTGGTCAGAGAAGACAGAGATTTAGGATACACTTGAAGACATCTTGTCTCTATGAACAGTAGTGCTGATCAAACAAAGCAGATATTTTCTGCTAGATAGTGTTGATTCACCCAAAACTTTAAATAGCTGCCTTCTTAATGAAAATTCTTAAGCTTTCCATGTTGTAAATTCACACATAAAGATAAGCTGTAGCTTGTTTCTCCCAAAAATACCAAAAGCTTTGCCAGCATTAATGAAATTTCACAAGATAAACACATTTTGCTATCACGGATATAACAAAAGCTTCGGGCCTTGGCCAACTGGGTGTACTTATCTAGTTTCCATGAGAAAGATAGAGTCCACTTCCAAAATATTGCAAACTTCTGGGCAGTTTTTCAAAATAAAGTGGAGGGAGAAAAAAAAAAAGTAAGTTATGGGAGAAAAAAGTAATTTGTGTTGTTATTTTTACTTCATAACATTTATCTGATTTTGGGGATTGTAATCAGAAGATTTGTGCATGGTATCATTACTAAATATCAAGGGAGAAATTTTTTTCCTATGTCTTTGTTAGTAAAGAAATTTGTTAAAAAAATCTGTTACATACATGTCCTCCAATCTCTTTTTTTTTTTCAGTTAGTCTGGGGCAAAGATCCTCAAGCAGCTAGATCAATCAAAAAACATCATAATTTGGTCAAAGGAATTTGACATCTTTGATAAACAAACACCACTTCAGTGTTTTCTAGAGGCCATTTTGAGGCTGAAATAGGGCAGCAGCTGCCTAACTATTTAACAACTGAAGACAAATTATAAAAAAAAATTTTAGCCAAGTGACAGTGCAGAGGCAACCTAGAGGAGAGAAAAAGGCCAAGCAATTCAATGCTTCTGAATATGGGTAATGACTGAAGCCCTAGTTTCAAATTTTATCTGTACATAAAAAAATTACATGTGATGTAATTACATGTGATGTATGTAGAATTTTGAGGATTTGTTAGCTTTCAGATTAGGAAGAAAAATATCCCATTTTATAAGTTATATTCTTGCAATTAACCAAATCCACTTAATAATGTCAGAGAATAGAAAAGTACAGATGTTAAAAATTAAAAACACTATACAAAAAAATTCCTCTGATTCAATATTGCTATTGTTTTGAATGCAAGATCTTCATTAGGGAATATTATCATCCTAAAATTAATGTACTGTCATTGAAATAAGATGTTCAAAACCCTTCAGAAGTAATCTTGTCTTTCTCACTCAGAGTGTAAAGAGCTATTTCTCAATGCTTACCATGTAGTTGTAACTTAGTATCCCTTTTGTCCAAGGATAAATTATGCATCTAATGGCCTTTTTTCATCATTACACCACAGTAAATATGTGATTCACTGTTCTAGATCACATTATATGAAGATGTTTGTTTCCAATCAACAAAGCATTTAAATGGAAACAAAAGCAACAGTCTCCCAAGTTAACATCAGTGGAAGTTTACTTTATTTGTGTCCTAAGTGAATTATATCTTCATGAACTTTTCCCATGGAAATAACCTGACCTGTTGATCTACATTTTCAGGTGTCAATGGTACTCAGATATGCCCAGTTTCCATTGCCCTAGAAGAAGATTACGGTTATTATGGCAACATCCCTCGTCTCCGATACCTTCGTCTGGATGGAAATGAAATTCAGCCTCCAATCCCACTGGACATCATGATTTGTTTCCGACTACTTCAAGCTGTTGTCATATAAAGATATTGCAGTGCCACTCTTGTACCATGAGAATGCTAAGATAAGAGTTTTGCTGGAATGAAACTTTTTCTAACTCAAATCAAGAAGTAACAGCTTTATTTGACTTTATTTTTTTTCTTTTCTTGTATCTTTTCTACAACTGAAAAGGTTGTTTATTCAGAAGGGATTTTGTATGGAACTGAAACATGTACTTAACACCTTATCTTATAAATTCATGAGGTGAATGTATTGAAAATCATTGGTGTAAGATCCCAAATATTCCAAAGAAAATTCTTACTTCATCTTTCTTGTCTATGTGACAACATAATGCCTAAAGATAAGTTATGTGTCCTTATTTTGTTAAATAGTAACTAACACAATGAACTTGAGTGCACTTGGCAAAATACATATGCTAAGAAAATCATGAGCTGCGTGATTACTAGTTATCAGAATTGCCACTGACATTTCAGATAGTGACTCGTGGTGAACAACCACTTAACATGCAAATAACCCAAAAATTGCTGTCATCCTTTGGAGATTAATACTTTTAAGGTGAAAAGTACAGGAGGCTTAGCATCCAAAGCAGCATACTGAATAAATATCATTGTAGGGATTCATTCAGTGAATTTCAGAACTGGAATAAATTGATCCAACTCAAATCCAAGGATAAGACAACAGGAGATGTAATCTTGTTCTATCAAAGCCCCAGTTTTCTGCTGATTTATTCAATTTCTAGTTTTGACGCCATTTCTTTCTGCAACTTTGGGATCATCATTGAATATTTGGTTAATTTTCGTTGTCAGAGAGATACAACCAAGAATAGTAATGATTACATATTTGATAGACTAGGTACTTAATAAAAATTTGAATGGCTAGTTAATGCAATGGTGATGAAGAGAAAATAAAGAAATTAAGAGATACATCCCCTCCCAATTATTTACTGAACTAGGAAAGCACTTGCATAGGAACTGCATCATTTAAGCAAAAACAATCAACTCTGAGCAGTATTCAGCTATCTCCTAACTCATATACATGCACACAATAATACTGGATTTTAGAGAAGTCCAAATTATTAGAACACAATACACTAACAATTCACTAACAAGGGAGATATCAGAAGGTAACTTTTAATGAAATATGTCTGATTTTATCAAATCTAGTGGATTTTTTTTTTCTATTTTATAATATTGGCTTTCAATAAATGACTTGAAAATTATTCACTGACAGAATATGAGTTTCTTATTTCTGCTAGCCAGCACAACAGACTATCCATCAGTCATTGTTTTAGTCTTCTTGCATTTCTAGATAGAAGCAATTAGTTTCATCTATTGCTAACATTTTAAGACTGGCCTCAGTAGCAAGCATTTAAAGACTATGCACATAAATATAATAATTTTTGCTTTGCAGATTAGGTATAATTTTTGCTTTGCAGATTAGGTATTTTCTTAAAAGTAGATTTTTGAGTGTTAAGAACAGTAATTTCTGACAAACAATCTTTTTTATCTGAAAATCAGGCCTTATTCTGATCCAAAGAACTTGTGGAATATAGAAACCCAGCATAGGAATAACCCATTCAGAAATCTGATCACTAAACCATTTACTTTTTCTATATGATTGCTGAGAAATTCCTACCCTTCTAACAAAAGTATTTTCTGTACCTCTATATGAAAAAATACAGATCTAAAAAGTCTTTACAATATGTATGCATGTTTAATTATGTTCTTTACTCAATAATAGCATAGTAATTTATTTTTTGGAAAAAGAATTATGTGACAATATTACTAATTAAATTATAACAATAATTATGTTCTTGCAGTTGGAAATTAATTTCTACTTTAAACAAAGAACAAACACACATACTCCAAAGTGAATATTCACAGACATATGTACATTTATTAATATTATTTACAGTTCTAATCACACAAAAAAGATCTTGAAGGTGCAGTAAATAGTAACTACTCTTTTAGGTACCATATACACATTGAAGAAAAGACTAAACCTTCCCAAAGAGATGCTAAGCTTACATATATCAAAGGTTGATATGTAAAATCATAAAGGGATACTAGAGCATCAAGGTACTCCGTTTGCTGGATAGGGACATTATGTGATGGAATTGAGAGCACAGAATGTGATGTAATAATTTTTAACAGTTATTTTCACCAGCTGTACTGCTTTTTTTCCAATGCAGTGTAATGTGAAAATCCTTATAAATCAGTCCTTCAAACAGTCAGTACTCTCCTATACAGCAATTCTAGAACACATGCAGATTGATGTTCAAGATTTGTTTCTGTCAAATCCCAGTTAATGTGAGTAAAGTGAAAATTCCTGATACATCCTAGGACAAACCTCTCTTGGGCTGAAGAGCTGCTGCTGCCAAGTGCTCTATATTCTACACCTTTGGTGCAATGCACTGACTCCATGTCTGGGAATTACTTAATAAAGAGAAAATCTTAAGTATTCTCACTTAAGCTAATTTGTTCCATCTTGATGCTGTCTCCCAGAGCCAGCTCTATGAAGTAGAATAAAAAACAGTTATGCTGCAGCGACCTTCAAAAAATAAATCAATACTGATTGGGGGTTAAGTTTCTTTACTGCATGTACATAGCCATTTGCAACAGTTTTAATATTCTTAAACTTCCTGGGAAAGTTGGTGACACTTCCTTTCAGACTACAATAGCAGGCCTAAATTACATTATTGTGTGGTACTAAACAATGTAGGCTTTTAGCCACCACATAGTCAGTTCATTCATTATGCCAGCAGGCTGTAAAGGAATATATAAAACACATTGTCTTTTTCTCAATGTGGAGACCCACTAATACAATGTAAAAAGCATCACTGTGCATGAAAGTCTGATGTTAATTCTTCCTAATCCAAGATTTCTCTATGACTTCTCACAGATATTTCCTGGTTCAGAAAAAAATTGTGTTCTTTTCCTCTGAAAGAAGGGAGGAATACACCTCTCATCTGTCCCGTCTGAAAGTGCAGCTGGCATCAAGGAACAGTCATTTGCTTCCCTTACTTGTCAGAACACATTGCAATCAGTTTTGAATGGAATACCATGTGCAGAAACAAAGATATTTACAAGTATGAGAAGCTGAGAACAAGTCACCATAAGTGTACTGCAGCAGTGGTCCATCACTAATCAACCCAGAAACATCCAGTGCTTTTTGCAATAAGAAATCCATCTTACATATTGGGTAATTTTGAAATTAGGGTAATTAACACAGATGTGCTATCACCTCAGCCCAGGGTGCAGACAGTTGCCCTGTAAAGAAAAGTATTAAAGCAAAGTGACAGACTCAAGAACTGAAAAATACCCAGATGTTTCTGACATGTCTGCCAGCATGGCTGGAGGCTGGAATGCTGGATCTATCAAAGGGCTGTGGGGTTTTATAACACAGCTGGCTCTGCAGGAAGAAAAGTCCTTCTCAGATACTGCCAGCATAGTTAAAAATTTAGCCACATGTATGATTCTCCCTGCTCCATACTGTTCTCTGGCATTTCTGTTTCTTTCTCAAGAGTGGAGTGTGCTACCACTGTTCTTCAACATTTTGAGAGAAAAACACCACCATAACAATCATTCATAGATGGCAGTGACCACAGCAACCTGTATGACACCAGAACACAAACACTGAGGTAAAAAATCAGAAGACACTAGAAAATTAATTTGCATTTTTGCAACTACTAACTCCAGCACATATCCTGTGTCATTGGAGGGATTTTCAGTGACCCTTGCTGTGCGCAAGTGGTTTCCAATGTTTATTACAAGTAGTTGCCGTTCACTTTTCTAAAAAAAAAGTGTTTATGTTTCTTACGTAATATTCTTGTTGCTAGGATGTTCATGACGTGCCCTTCACCAGTTACTGAAATCCTTGAATTTGTCTGAAATCCTGCTCCCACTGCTAGGAAGCCTATTTTGAGGATGGTAATCTCCTTGTGATACTCTACTTTGTTACAGGACTTCAAATAATCACTGATTCTCTCTCCTGGCAGTGAGGATAGGCTTCATGGTATTATAGGATCTAGGCTCAAGACCCTGTCTGAATCAGAAGCAGATGGAATTGGAGTGCAGATTTTTTATTTTTTTTTTCTCTGAGGAGGCTGTTTTCAGCACCAGACTAGAGGTTCATGCTCTTTTGTGAATCCTAAGATTTGTTTCTTTCAATGACTGGAACTGCTTCTAATGAAGAAGACTGATAGCAAGCCTTCTCAACTCTGCTTAGCAGGAGAATAGAAGTGAGTTATACTTAAAATTTGCCAGAAACAAGGTGCCCAAATTCCTTTTCTCTGAATTGCTGACCAAATTGGGAAGAGAAAGCTGTTCATGAAGGTTGTTTCTGAAAGTCCCATTGGTTTGGATCTTTTAAAAAGCTAATTATTTATGTCTTTATTTTGGTTTGGTGCAAGTTCTTTAAATTTAAAATACCACATATGAACATGGTGTGAGGTTTATTTTTCATTTCTCTATGAAGAAGAAGGCTAAAATAATTAATTCCTCCTCAAATAAATAGAAATAATTTTGCATTTGACTTTCCACCAAATAAACAAACAATCGGAAAAGAAAATTTTCTGTTGTCAAGCTAAAATTTCCATGCTTTCCTCTTTTTCTCCATTGTGAAGGTACTGAATGCATTTACATCTGCATTCTGTCTGGGATTAATGTAGCAGACTTATTAGGTATTGAGGAACATCAAGAATATATTTCAGCTGTAGTATTATCCATGCTTCCAATTTTACTCAAAGCATTAATAAGACTTAGGCTTGTACTTTCCTACTTTTGAAAACCCTGCATTACAGCCCCTGGTTTTTATTCAGGGAAAAAGGTGCTCCAGGAGATTCAAGGTTTTCTGTGGTGCCTGCTTTCCCCATACTTAGACCTCCTCTGCTTACCTCCCAACACTCATGTGGTTTTATTTCCTGCTGGTTTAATACTAGCTCCATAGTGGGATTTTCCCCAGTGTTAGTACTGTAAGGCATGGAGGGGGATAAGTCCTGTTGCTGGTGGGCTGCTTCTGACATG